TGAGGCAGGAGAATGATGTGAACCTGGGAGGCGGAGCTTGCAGTGAGCTGAGGTTGCGCCACTGCACTCTAGCCTGGGCGACAGAGCGAGACTCCATCTCAAAAAAAAAAAAAAAAAATTACCTTTGGGTATAAGTACAACCACTGTTATATAAAACATATGGAGGAGACAGACAATTAAAGTGGTCTTGGGAATTAGGGCAGGTATCTTGAGGAGGTACTGTCAAGAAAAGAGAGAAAGTAGAAGGGCATTCTCAGCCAAGGATACAACATGTGCAAGGGTCCAAAGCAGAAAGAGAGCCTGGCACACATCAGAAACTGCAAATACATTAGTATTGACAGAACAAAGCCTGTGAGACCACAGCATGGTCTTGCTGCTAGGACGAGGAGTCTTGACTTGCTGATGGAGGCAATGGGGAGCCACTGAAGGATTTTTATGCAGATGAATGACATGCACTAGTCCAAGAGAGAAATGAGGAGACCTGGTTGAAGGGGTAACAATGGATACAGGCAGGAAGAATATTCGTAAGTTATATTTGGGAAGCAAAATAATAGAGTGGAGGAATGTAACCAACATTAATTAACCAATGTTAATCCTTAAACAGTCCTATACGATAGGAATTATTCTTCCCATTTTATGAACAAAGAAATAAAAAAATTCAACTAGGAAGTGGTAGAAGGAAGATTTGAATATAGAACGTTCTGATTTCAAAGCCCTTGGATGTTGGTTATAGCTGTTTTATAAAATATACTTTTTATATTTCCTGATTTAAAAGCCCTTAGTGGTGTTTTTTGTTTTTTTTTAAACAGACATTTCTTTTTAGTGCTGAATAGTAGTCCATTGTCTAGATGTGCCACAGTTTGAGGACATCTTGATGCTTCCAGTTATTGGCAATTATGAATAAAGCTGCTATAAATATTCATGTATAGTTTTTGTGTAGATGTAAGTTTTCAGTTCCACTGGGTAAACACTTAGGAGGGTGACTGCTAGAACATATGGTCATATTATGCTTCACTTCGTAAGCTGCTGTCAAACTGTGCTCCAAAGTGGCCAAACCATTATGCATTTCCACCAGCAGTGAATGAGAGTTCCTACTGCTCCACATCCTTGTCAGCATTTGAGACTGTCAGGTTTTTGTTTTGTTTTGTTTTGAGTCATTCTAATAGGTGTGATAGTATTTCACTGTTGTTTTAATTTGCATTTCCTTAATGACATATAACGCAAGCATCTTTTCATATGCTTATTTTCCATCTGCGTATCTTTTTTGACCATCTGGAAAGGGTGTCTTTTTGGTTCTTTTGCCCATTTTTTTAATTGGGTTGGTTGTTTTCTTAATGTTGAGTTTTAAGAGTTCTTTGTATATTCTGAATACAAGTCCTTAATCAGGTATGCATTTGCAATTTTTTCCCCAGTTTGTGGCTTGTTTTTTCATTCACTTAACGGTGAACTTCACAGAGTACAAGTTTTAGAGTTTAATAAAATCAACTTATTGATTTTTCTTTCCTGAATTGTGCTTTTGGTTTTGTATCTAAAAACTCATTACCAAACCCAAAGTCACATAAATTTTCTATGTTATCTTCCAGAAGTTTATTATAGTTTCAGGTTTTACATTTAGTCTATTTAGGTTCCATTTTGAGTTAATTTTTGTGAAAGGTACAAGGTGAATGATTAATTTGTACATACAGATATCTAATTATTCCAGTATCATTTGTTTAAAAATTTATCCTTTTTTCCATTGAATTGCCTTTGCCCCTTTGTCTGAGATCAACAGACTATATTTGTGTGGGTAAATTTATGCAATCTCTATCCTATTCTATTGATCTATTTGTCCATTCTTTTGCCAATACCATGCTATCTTGATTGTATCTTGATAGCTTTATTGTAGGTCTGGAGTCAGGTACTGTCAATCCTCCAACTTTCTTCTTCATCGTCAGTAGATTCTGGGTCTTCTGCCTTTCCACATAAACTTTAACATAAGTTTGTTGATATTCATAAAATTACTTGCTGCAATTTTGATTCTGATTACATCGAATGTATAGATCAAGTAGAGAACTGACATCTTAATAATATTGAGGTTGGGCACAGTGGCTCACACCTGTAATCCTAGCACTTTGGGAGGCCAAAGCAGGAGGACTGCTTGATCCCAGGAGTTTGACACCAGCCCCAACAACATAGCAAGACCCTCACTCTACAAAATAAAATAAATAAATAAATAAATAAATAAATTAGCTGGGTGTAGTAGCGCATGCCTGTAGTCCCAGCTACTTGAGAGGTGAGGTAGGAGGACCACTTGAGCCTGGGAGGTCAAGGCAGCAGTGAGCCGTGGTTGCACCGCTACACTCCAGTCTGGGCAACCCTGTTTCCAAAAAACCCCAAAACCCAATACTGAGTCCTTCTATCAAAATGTGGAATATCCATTTATCTAGATTTATGTGATGTCTTTCATTAGAGTTTTGTAGTTTTCTTCATTCATATATGAATCTGTGCACAAACACATTCACACATATTTCATCAGATTTATCCCTAAGTATTTCCTTTTTTTGGCACTAATGTAAACAACACCATGTTTTAAATTTTAAATTCCAACTGCTTCTTGCTGGTATATAGAAAAGCAAATGCCTTTTGTATGTTAACCTCACAGCCTGAAAACTTGCCTTAATTGCTTATTAGTTCCAGAATGTTTTTGCCAATCTTTGGGATTTTCTACATAGACAATCATGTCATCTGTGAATAGTGTCAGTTTTATTTCTTCCTTCCCAATCTGTATGCCTTTTACTTCCTTTTCTTGTCTTACTGTGTTAGTGAAGACTTTAGTATAATGTTGAACAGGAGTGGTGGGGGGGGACATCCTTGGTTTTTTTTCAATCTTAGGGGAAAAGAATCCAGTTTCTCATCATTAAGCAAGATGTTAGCTATAGGTTTTTTGATCAAATTGAGGAAGTTCCCCTCTACTCATAGTCTGCTGATAACTTTTTAAAAAATCATGAATAGGTATTGGATTGTATCAGATGGTTTTTTTACATCTATGGATATATGATTTTTCTTCTTTAGCCTGTTGATGTCACAGAATATGCATTAATTAATTTTGAAAGCTGAACCAGCCTTGCATACCTGGAATAAATCCCACTTGGCTGCAACATGTAATTCTTTTTATACATTGCTGAATTCAATTTGCTAATAATTTTGTTGAGGATTTCTGGAGCATGTTCATCAGAGATATTGGTCTGTAGTTTTCCTTTCTCACAATATCTTTATTTGGGTAATAGGGTAATGTCTAGGGTAATGTTGGATGCATAGAATGAGTTAGAAAGCGTTCTTACTGCTTTGATTTTCTGGAAGACATTGTAGAGAACTGGTACCATTTGGTATCATTTTTTCCCTAAAATTTTGATAGAATCCACCAGTAAAACCATCTGAGACTGTTGTTTCTGTTTTGGAAAGTTATTAATTAGTGATTTAATTTCTTTAGTAGGTATAGATTTATTCAGATTGTCTATTTCTCCCTGTGTCAGTTTTGGTGGTTTCTGTCTTTTAAGGAATCAGTCCATTTCATCTAAGTTACCAGATTTGTGAGTACAGAGTTGTTCACAATGTTCTTTTATTATCCTTTTTCTTTTGTTTTGAGACGGGGTCTCACTCTGTCGCCCAGGCTGGAGCGCAGTGGTGTGATCACAGCTTACTGCAGCCTTGACCTCTCAGGCTCAAGTGATACTCCCATCTCAACCTACTAAGTAGCTGGGATTACAGGCACAACCGGCTGATTTTGTTTTTTTGAAGAGACGAGGTCTCCCTACGTTGCCCAAGCTGGTCTTAAGTTCCTGGGCTCAAGCGATCCTCCTGCCTCAGCCTTCCAAAGTGCTGGGACTATAGGATGAACCACCTCACCCAGCCCATTATCTTTTTAATATCTATGGATTAGTAGTGATGATCCTATGTTTACTTCTCATATTAGTAATTTATATCTTCTCTTTCTCTCTTTTTGGCTAGAGGTTTATCAATTTTATAGATATTTACAAAGAACTAGCTTTTGTTTTGTTGATTTTCTCTGTCGATTTCTACTCTGTACTTCTACTATAGCCTCCTAAGTACCCTCTCTCTTTCCATTCTTGCCCCTCTCTAATCAAATTACCTTCTTGCGGCCAAAGACATCTTCCTAAGGGTCAAAACTGATTATGTCACTACTCATCTGCTTAAAACTCTTCAAGGCATCTTTTGCCCTTGAGATGAAGCCCAAATTTCTCCTTGTTATCTCTAAAGCCCCACATAATTTGGTCTCTGCCCATTCCTCCAGGCTTCTCAAGTTCCACCCTCAGGTCTCCTGGAGTTTGGCAGCATAGAAAAGACAAATATTACATCTTTACACATATATTTATTTCAATTATAGATAAGGACAAGATAAATTAGTCAATATAATGTATAGGAAGTTCTTCAATTGGCTGAGATTTTAAAAGACCATTAAGAAAAACTAGAGAAAAAATTGATAACCAAAAACTAATATAAAATGGATTTCTGAAAATAGTGTCTAGAGATCTATAGCCCATACTGAAAGTTTGAAAAAATTACAGAAACATCCAAACATTTTTTTTCATTGTAAGGGTGTAATAAAAACAATATTTTGAATCAAAAGAAAAGAAAGTAGCTGCAACTGCACTACCCTAACATAACTATGATGATATTCTGCAGTAGTTGTTATATTATATTCAGATATGATTATAGTGACAAGCCTGAGGTCACTTCATGGTTCTTGACGCTGGCACATTAGAATCGTCTGAGAGAATGTTCAAACATAAAGGTACCTGAGCCCCAATTCCTGATCAACTAAATAAGAATCTCTGGGTAGCGAGGTCTTAGTTATGAATCATCACACATAGACATACTCCTTCGTACAGACAGATTTATTCTTGGTATCAATTACCTAGGGAAGTGGAGACTTCCTCAGACAGGAAACAGAATCTTTTATTAAAGCAGTGGTTCTCAATTTGGCTGCATATTAGACTCACTTGGGCAGCTTTAAAAATCCTAATGCAAAGGCTGTGTCCTCGCTCAATGACTTCAAAATCTCTAGAGGATGGGATGCAGGCATCAGTAATTTTTTAGGCTCTCTAGGTGATTCCAATATGCAGTCAAGGTCAAAAACCACTGTGCAGAGAGAGTCCTTGGTAAGCTGCAAAGTGGGAATTTGGCTCTTTCGGTCTTGATCACATAGCTCAAGATGTCTAGGAGAAAGTCTTTGAACAGTGGGCTGTGAAAAAGGCTAGATGTCATGAAGCAAGGAAGCTAGCCAAATCCTGCAATGCCGTGCTCTCCTGTTGTGAAGTAAGTATGGCCCTGGCTTGTGCTAGCTATAGAAGAGACAGAATCATTTTGGAAACCAGACTACTCCTTTGGATTTCTTGTCCTCTCAAGGTGAATTTCTCTGTTGTCCTCTTTTAATCTTTAGTGAAATATTTTTAGCTTTGCTTAGAGGAGCCAAAAGAAAGTGTCCCCCCACCATACACACCCCCCTTTCCTCTTTTTTTTTTTTTAAGGCATTAAAGAGAAGCTGGCCCTCTGAAGTCAGCATGATGGTGGCAGAAGTTCTTCAAGTGACAGTCTCTCCAGGAGATGGGGAAAGTCAGGGTTAGATAAAGGAAGGGGCCACCTGACAGTCCTCACCACTGCACCCCCCTCCCTAAAAATCTTCTAATAACAATACTTGAAAGATCTGGATTTTGTTATTAAAGGTGGCTCTATTCTCTCTTACTCATACCCTCTTCCTTCTGTCCTTGATTGACTGAACAAATATTTATTGATATTTACTATGCACATAAACACTATACTAGGCATTGTGAATATATCTGTGAGCAGAACATTCCTACTTCTTGCCCTTACAAAGCCTCTGGTATATAGTTAAAACGTAGGATCAAACTGACTGTGAATTTGGAAAAACAGAAAGCTATGTTGAATAGTGAGAAAAGTAAAAAAGTTTGGAGGCAGGCAGAGAAGGGTTCAAATACTGGCTTGATCACATTTAGTTCGGTGAACACAAGTAAATTACTTATTCCTTCTATAGTCATTTTCACATTTGTTAAAATGCATTTAAATACCATCTACTTCATAGAGTTGTCCACCATTTATCCACGCAACAAATATTTATTAATTGATCAACAAGTAATACAGTAGACACTGGTTTTGCTGCTAGAAAATGTAGGGAACAAAATAGAGAAACTATTTTTTTCTATTTCTATTTTTCATCTACTCTAGTAGATGGAGACAGACAATAAACAAGTAAAAACATATGCAGCATCTGAGAGTGATAGACACCCTGGAGAAAATGACATAGTAAAGGGGAACAGGGAATGCCAATAGGGGGTGGGGCTATGATTTTAAATGGGATGGGTAAGGGAGATTTTATTAAGAAGGTAACATTTGAACTACGTTCTAAAAAGGTAAGGGAGTGCACAATCTCTGCAGGTATCTGGGGAAGAGTGTTCCAGACAAGGGAATGATCAAATGCCAAGAGTCTTGAGGCGGGAACAGGCCTGGAGTATCCAAATCACAGCAAGGAGCCCAGGATAAAACAATAAATCAGGAGACCAACAAGAAACCAAGGTGTAGACCATGTAGGGCCTTGGTGAGCACTGTAAAGGTTCTGGCTGTCATTCTACAAGAAATGGGGAGCCACTGAGGAGTTCTGATCACAGGAGTAATAAGACCTATCTTGTATTTTAATAGGATCACTTTGGCTTCAGTATGGAAACAGACCACAGAGAAGCAAGCATAAAATCTGGAAGACTAGTTAGGAGTGCAAAAGTTCAGTGGGAGGTGGTGGTTTGGACAGAGTGATGATATAGAGGTAGTGAGAAGTGGTTGGATCTGAGGGTATTTAAGGTAAAGCTAATAGGGTTTACTGATTATCAGATTTGAGTGTCAAAGAAATGATGCTACAGCATTTGATGTGAGCAATAGAAGGATGTAGTTAGCTGCCATTTCCTGGGGTAGAAAAGACTGGAGTTTGGTTCTGGACATGTTAAGTGTGAGATGCCTAATACACATCCGAATGAAGGAGGCAATTGGGTAAATGAGTCTGGAGTGTGGGGAAAGAGAACTGGGCTTGATATAAATGTAGGCGTCATCAGCATATAGATTACATTTAAAGCCATGATACTGGATAAGATTAAGCAAATGTTGAGGGAAAAGGTAACATAGAAAGTACCTAGTGCACCACTGGGCATATAGTAGGTGCTCAATAAATGCTTTCCCCTTGAAGCCCTAGAGAACTTGACAGGCTGTTTTAGAAGTGCTAAACTCACCTCAGGCTATATTTAGACTGCTCCATGTTTATCCACTATTACAAATGACCTGGTTTTCACAAGGCTCTGGGGATTAAGAGTTGTTTGCTTTCATTTTCATATTTTTGTGTCTTCACATGGAATTCCTTATGAAATTAGACTGAGCATTAAAGTCCCCACGCTCTTGCCCACATGACAACTGTAAAACACCACACTGTGGCAGCAGACAGAGCTTTCCCAGAGCACAGAGCACTTGCCCACACCCAGCAGAAACAGGTGAAACTTCCATTTAATTAAATCTGCTCCCAGAAGGCCCACATCAGCTCAGGAAACTCACACCTGGACACCAGGATCTGGCTCCTTCAAGAAATCCAGATGGCTCATCTCTGTCCTGGACTAACGGGCACATTCCTGGCTCATTGTGTTATATTCCTTATAATGGAGACTGAGATTTCCTTAGGGTTCTTTCTGGAATGCTCTGCCTATCTTCCTTTGACTCTTTGCTCAAATGCCACCTTCTCAATGAGTTTTACTTTGACTGTCCCATTGAAATCTGCAATCTCTTCAACAGCATTCCCTTGTCTTGCTCTATTTTCTTTCACAGCACTTATCACCTTCCAAAATCCTAAAAACTTTATTTATAACATTTTTGTTTATTGATTGTCTTGTTCACTGGTATATCCCCAGAGCATAGAATATTGCCTGATACATATTAATTGCTCAACAAATCTGTTGATTGAATGAGAGAGTATCCACTTTGTTGTTGAGGCAAGAGCCTTTACCCCTAAGCCTTTTCCCAGGGCCCTCAACTTTGAGCCAGACAACAGTAGACTCCTTTCAGAGAGCAGATGTACCCCCTCAGAGGTATCATTAAATCAGGTTGTGGCTGCCTGCACATAGCAGCCTGAGTGCCCAACCCCTGGGGAAGACGGGGTCAATTCTCAGGCAACCACAAGGCTAGTAATGTCACCAGCTCACCAGTCTCACATTCTAGTTATTCCTGTTTCTCTCCAAACCATATTCTCCTCAGTTTTCTTTCCCTCAAGTCACTGCTCTCTGCTTCTTCTTGGTCCAATTTCCTACTTCTCCCCCGGCACAGCCGACACTCTGACTTTCAATTATGTGGCATAAAACTGTGTTCCTTTATATCCTCAAACTCTTCAGTGAATGTTCCTTCCATTTTTGCTTTCATAGAAACCTGGGTCTCTTGGGAAAACACCATTTTTACAGCCCTCTGCAAAGGAGGCTGCTCTTTCATCTATACTCCATGGACCCTGGGATCCATGGTTATCCTCTTTGGAGTCCATTAATGCTTCCAAACCACCAATATGTCATGCTTATTATAAAAAAAGAAACAACCAAAAACTTGTCTGTTGCTCATGCTATCCAGCAATACTACCCTTTACCTTCCCTTCCTGTTCTCAATTGCTTCCTCCCCATTCACTAAGACTTCAGCTTACAGGATAGCCTTTCCAATCAAGCTTATAAGGCTACACCTGTGGCTTAGAAGTTTCCGTTTATTCCACTTAGAAAACACATAGCCAGTGCTCAAGAAATATCTGCTAAATGAAAGAGTGAAGAAATGAAATCTGGGGTATGGAGCAGGAGGCAAGCTGAAGTCCAGGTCTCATTTTTCGGCTATATCCCTGCCAGTTTACCAGACACTGATAAGGGCTAACTCTCATCCTTGGTATTACTATTGTCAATGCTTTAACTGAGACTTAGTAGTTAAATAACTCACTCCAGATTAGAGCTAGTAAGATGTGGAACTGGGCCTCAAAACTCCATGTCTGACTCCACAGCTCACATTTTTAACCACCAAAAAGTTCTGCCTTCTTGAACAACAGTTCCTGTAGTAAAAAGACAAGGTTTTGCACATCAGTATTCTGAATAATGTTCACAGCACTAACAAGTGATTTTGTCATGTAGATACAAGCAGAAGGGAATTCTCAAAGAAAATATAAGCCACTCTATTCCAGGAAGACATAATTAAACAAATACAGTGAAGACAAAAAAAAAAATCTAAAATGTCTATTTCCAGGCTTTTGGAATATCACTACATATAAGGTATTTTAAGAGTATTTCTCCCATTCTGTAGGCTGTCTGTGTACTCTCTTGATAGTTTCTTTTGCTGTGCAGAAACTCTTTAATTTGATTAAGTCTCACTTGTCAATTTTTGTTCTTGTTGCAGTTGCTTTCGGGGACTTAGCCATAAATTATTTGCCAAAGCCAACGATGAGAAGGGTATGTTCTAGGTTTTTTGCTAGGATTTTTATAGTGTGAGGTCTTATATTTAAATCTTTAATCCATCTTAATTTTTATATATGGTGAAATGTAGGGATTCAGTTTCATTCTTCTGCATATAGTTAGCCAGTTATCCCAACACCATTTATTGAAAAGGGAGTCTATTCCCTATTGCTTATTTTTGTAGACTTCGTTGAAGATCAGATGGTTGTAGCTGTGTGGCTTTATTTCTGGGTTCTCTATTCTGTTCCATTGGTCTATGTGTCTGTTTCTGCAGCAATATCAAGTTTAGTTCCTATATCCTTATAGTAGAGTTTGAAGTCTAGCAATGTGATACCTCCAGCTCTGTTCTTTTTGCTTAGGATTGCTTTGGCTATTCTGGCTTTTTGGTTACATATACATTTTAGAATGGTTTTCTCTACTTCTATGAAAAATGATGTTGATAGATGCAGCTGTAAGTCATTATCCTAAACAAATTAACACAGAAAAGAAAATGAAATATCACATGTTCTCACTTACAAATGGGAGCTAAATACTGAATACACACGGACATAAAAATAAGAACAGACACTGGGGACTACTAGAGGGGGGAGTGGGCTGAAAAACTACCTGTTGAATACTATGCTCACTACCTGAGTAATGGGACCATCCATACTCCAAACCTCAGCATCACACAATTAACCCATGTAACCAAGCCTGCACATTTACCCCCGAATCCATTTTTTTAAAAGGAGTTTTTCTATGCAATAGGGTTCCAAGAATAGAAAACATCTGGAGTGAGGAGACAATTCTCAAGATAGAGATGTGCTGCATTCTCAATTAAGGGTGAGCCAACCACACTTGTGGGCCAAAGCCAACCTTTCACCTGTTTTTTATATGGCCTGTAAGTTAAGAATGTCTTTTACATTTTTAATAGATGGGGAAAAAAATCAAAAAGCATATTTTTGATACATAAAAGTTATATAAAATTGCCAGGCATGGTGGCTCACGCCTGTAATCCCAACACTTTGGGAGGCCAAGGCGGGCGGATCACCTGAGGCCAGGAGCTCAAGACAAGCTGACCAACATGGAAAAACCCCATCTCTACTAAATATACAAAATTAGCCAGGCGTGATGGCGCATGCCTGTAATCCCAGCTACTCGGGAGGCTGAGGCAGTAGAATCACTTGAACCAGGAAAGTGGAGGTTGCAGTGAGCCGAGATTGCGCCACCGCACTCCAGCCTGGGCAACAAGAATGAAACTCTATCTCAAAAATATACATATATAATTAAAACTTCAGGGTCCATAAATAAAGTTTTATTGAAATATAGCCATACTCATTAATCTATGTACTATCTATGGATGCTTTCAAGTTAAAACAGCAAAGCTGAGTAATTGTGACAGAAAAAATAAGGCCCCAAATTTTAAAATATTTCCCATTTGGCCCTTTGCCAAAAGAGTTTGCCAATCCCTTTAATAAATAATTTCTTCTGTCTTACCTTCCAGTTCACTAACTCTGTCTTCAGTTGTATCTAATCAGCTGCTAACCCCTTTTACTGAGTTTTTAATTTTGGTCATTGTATTTTTTAACTCTAGAAGTTCATTGTTTTTTCAAATCTGGTATTTTGCTTTTCATAGTTCCCTATTCTATGCATATAGTTCAGTACTGTCTCTTACTTCTTTAAATATAGTATATTTAATTGCTTTATAAATAATGTGTGGTAATTCCAATTTCAGAAATCTTTGTGGATACTCCTCTGTTGCCAGTTGTTTTACATGTTTCTCATAAAACCATGAGAACAAGCTTCAATAGAAGCTTGTTTCCTTGTGTGTTTAGTTATTTTTTACCGTAAGCTGTTCATTTCCTTGAAAAGTTATTTATGAGGAACGCATATGTCTTCCTCTATGGAAAGTCTGCATTTATTTCTGCCAGGTGCTAGGAGGCACTGCCAGTCTGGAATGCCTTAAACTGAATTCATGGCTTGAGGTTCCCTAGATCACCTGAGTGATGAGAACTCTGGCAAAAAATACCAAGTGTTTTTGCTCCAGTGCCATGACCTACTCAGTGCTTTGGTAATTGTTCTCGCAGCCTGCTTTGGGGGTGCAGGTTTATTAATAGTTCTAGTTTACCCTTATGCTGGGTCCTTTGGGGTTCTAGTTAACATGAAAGTAATTAAAAGATGAAAAATATGGAAGATAAGTTAATATAATGAGAAGGTCTAAAATTTAACCAGAATTTCAGAAGAGGAGTAGAGAGAGAGTGAGGCATAGGGAATATTTAAAGAGAGAATGGCTGAAATTTTCCCAAAACATATGAAATTCTTATACCCAAGAATCTAAATGAGGCCAGATACTGTGGCTTACACCTGTAATCCTAACACTTCAGGAAGTTAAGGCAGGAGGATCACTTGAGCCCAGGAGTACAAGACCAGCCTGGGCAACATAGCAAGAGCCTGTCAGTACCAAAAAAAGGAAGACGACGACGACGAAGATGAAGAAGAAGAAGGAGAAGAAGGAGAAGAAGGACAAGGAGAAGGAGAAGAAGGAGAATGAGGAAGAGGAGGAGGAGGAGGAGAAGGGGGGAGGAGAAGAGGGGGAGAAGAAGAGTAGGGAGAAGAGAAGGGAGGAGAAGAGGGGGAAGGAGAAGAGGGGGAAGGAGAAGAGGGGGGAGGAGAAGAGGGAGGAGGAGAAGAGGGAGGAGGAGAAGAGGGGGGAGGAGAAGAGGGGGAAGGAGAAGAGGGGGGAGGAGAAGAGGAGGAAGAAGAGGAAGAAGAGGAGGAGGAAGAAGAGGAAGAAGCAGCAGCAGCTAAAAGAATCCCAATCAAGATAAATAAAAAGAAAGCCTTACATTGGCATACTTATTCATACTTTATAGAACACTTTCTTTTATTCTGCATAAAGCCATAGGAAGTGAGTGCTATTATCTACATTTTTCATAAAGGAAAACTGGGGTTCAGAAAGCTAAAATATAATAATTATCTAAGGTCATGTAATACTATGCAGCAGAGACAGAATTCAAATCCAGTTCCGACTAAAGTTCAGATCCTTTCCTACACTTCAGAAATAGAACATAACACAACTAGAGAGGGACTTGGTAAGGGGTGATCTCAACTTTGCTGAGTAACTGCCCCCACCAAAAACAGAATCCTTAACTTGGAAACTTCTCTCTGGAAGTAGGTGGAAACCTTTCTCAGGTATCTGTGAGACAGGAGAGACAGCACTGGACTTCTGAAGACAGCACTGGACTAGAAAAAGCTTTGCAGCTAGAGGCAGGAAAGTAGCTTGTACCTTAGATTGTGAGTTAAATCAAATGAGGCCAAGCCAATTTACTGTGCTAACGACCAAGTTAACTCACATAGTTCAAAGAACTGGCCTGATACGCAACAGAAAGCTACACAACAGCCTACTCTGCAGGACCCAACTGTCAGGAGAGCAGGGTAGGAATGTCCTCCTCATCCTCCTCCTTTCACTGCTGAAGACAGTTTAAATATTGTAGTATGTCCTAGAGAATATGCCTTTTGTTCATCAGTGTGATTCAACTTGGGAATTACTCTTATCTCTTCCGTTCTGGTGGCATTTCACTTGCTTATGGCTTATACTTGATTTGTTTTTTTCCAGAGTACTAAATTAAGAATTTTCTAAGAGTGAAGCCTATGGCTTTCTACCACAATCAAATACCCCATTCCCTAGATGTTAACATGCAGCTGACATCTCTCCACTAGCCTGGTATACAGAACACACACATTTTCCTTCATAGTTGCCTCCATAATGTGTAAAAGTTGGGAGATTTACAATGCCTGAACTCACAGTATGAGGCATCAGAGCCAAGAAGCCAAATGCCAGACTATTCAGTAGGAAAACCAATCAGCCTCTGATTTGATGTCTTGTATGTAGGTGTGGCCATCATCATCAGACACAACTGCGGAAAAGGCCCTTATGCAACATGGAAAAGGAAAGAGAAACAATTCTGATCCTTCATGATGTCTGCCTGGTAAAGGGCAGGGGACAGAGGTGCACAAAGATGACTAACAATAGAAAGGAATCACAGTAGGTAGAGTAAGGTGGTTCTGCAAGGATTTATTGAGCATCAGCTATGTAAGCAGGCTTGCAGGGGCATGAACACACGGAGTGGAGAGAGCTGTAACTCAAGGCATGCTTGTCAAATACGAAAGTACACAGTCATCCTACCATCATCCATCCATCCACCCATCCTTTCATCCATCCATCCATCCATCCATCCATCCATCCATCCATCCATCCAAGTGTTCAGTGTTTAATGGGTACCTGACAAACATATGCCAATACTGTCTAGGTGCTAGAGAGACCAAGAAGACCAGTAGGGAAGGATCCTGGAAGGATTAGATACTCAGTATTTGACAGTCCTCTATGAATTAATCATTTCAATTAAATTCTTACAAAAACCCTGTGGAATAAGTTTATTGTCATCATCTTATAGATGAAACTGAGGCTCAGAGTGGTTAAGTAGCTTGCCCCAAATCACAAAGAGAATAAACGTCAATCTGGGATTTGAACCAAGTTATCTACTAGGCCTAGCTCTGAGCCTGTGCCCTTAAAAAATTAGTAATTATTATGCAATTACAGTATAGTGCGATAATTGTAACAGAGGTAGAAAATTCAAAGGAAGCACAGAGGAAGAGACAATTTTGTGTGGGGAGGAAGTAGTTTTTTTTAGTTTTCCAAGTGAGCTAGCAAGGAAAGAGAATTTCAGGCACAGGTAACAAGCACACGCAAAGGTAGAAGGAAAAGGAGGGTTCACCTGTGGCAAGAGTGGCAGGAGTTGAAGCTGGAGAGTAAGATAGGGAGTGATCACAGAAAGCTGTGCATGTCAGGTGCCAGAGCATCTCTGAGAGGCCCCTACCTCCTGCTGTGACTCAACTGTCTTCTACCCTTAGGAGAAGCCTTTCCAGGAGCCTCCTAGTCCTTCCAACTCCTGGCAGTGTCCTCCTCCTATAATAAGTTGCCTGTGCCAGCCAAATCAAAGGCCTTATGTTTGCACCCATCATCCCACCCTCTGTGGCCACTGCAGACCGTAACATGCCCCAAGATTCTGCTGACAGCCTGAGGACAGAGGCCCCAGGGAGTCCCCTAGTCACCAGAAGAGTGATGAGAGCTGACCCTTCAAAGTGAGACCCAGCTCTCACAGACCTCTCTGCCACAGAGCCAATGTATCTTCTCATTCTACTCACAGTTTAGAGTCCAGATTCAGGAGGAAGCCCAACCGATCATACTCTGAAAAAGAAAAGCAGAAAATGTCATTTAAGTCAAGTCACTGATGATACTAGGATATTGCATCCCCCAGACCTAGACCATGGGGACAGACAACCCTTGGAAAAGAACACAATTCAACTGCTTCAAAGAATACAACTAAATACATAAACCACAAAACACCAGCTGAACACCTGTTCTGTGAAGGACCAAGTTCAATGCCAGGTATTTCCTATGCATTCTAGGGCAGCCAGTCCTATGTTGGTATACAACTGCCTTCCTTCCTGTATAAATGTGGCAATTGGAACTGAAATTTAGTAAACCATGAAACTGGAACCTGGAAAAGTAAGAGGCTCAGATGCAGTATCTGCTTCCTCTGAGCTCTAAACACAGCATTTGCTGAATCAGTCACCTTAGCCATGGGGTGAGGATGTGGCAGTCAACAGGTCCCCAAATCCATGCCAATTCTCTTCATGGTCATCATAAAGAACCAATACATCAGATTACATAAAGAATAGCAAGTTTATAATAAAATTTAAAGACAAATCGATGTTTCTAACAAGGGATTAATCAGTATTTTAATTTATTTAAGTTCTTTACATCTTGCCTTATTATAAAATGAGGTTGAAGCAGTTCTATAAAATTGTATGGAGTACAAGATTTTAAAAAGGATAAATCTGGGGGCCAAAGTGGACATAAACTTAGGAAAATGCAGGTGGGGTAAGGAAAATAGTAAAAGTGAATATCCTAGGGCCGTGTGTGCTTGCTGGAGGAAGATTACAGATCTGTCCTCAAGATTTTCCATAGCTAAAACTAAGTGCAAAGCACTGATTTCATGGTTCAGCAGTATCTAGAAAATAAACCAGGAGAATCACAGCTATTCTTGATACTAAGACTTGAGGAAAATTTCCTGTGTCCTCAAAAACATTTGTATAAGGAAAATGATAGGAAGTGTCATGGGATTATTTCTTATGGCTCTGCTCCATAGTTGCAGTGTGTGTGTGTGTGTGTGTGTGTGTGTGTGTGTCTAGCCAAAATAAGGTGGCCTATGAATGCAGTTCTTAGCTGGCCTGGCTCAGTCTGAGGGTAAAACAGAATACCAAAATACTGGATGGAAAAGGCCAGGCAGCAAAGCTTTCGAGGAACTCAGGCTTTAATAAGCAGTGAACAGCAAAAAGAGGGAAGTCACACACGCTGACAAGTACCTCCCAGGAGTCGTTCTGCAAGGCCAATTAAGGCCAGACTCATTGCTTTCAAAATCATCTGAGCTGCGGAGAGAGAATAAATCCTCTTCTTAAAATTGAAGCTACCAACTCGGACACACAACTCAACACAAGGCTTACCTCCCAAGAGAATGGCCTTGAGCAAGTGAAAGCCTTTCCTCAAAATAATTCTGGTTTTGCTCTAATGCAGGCAAATGGATGAAAGACTTGCCTTAACATATCAAGAACTTACAAACATTGGTAAGAAAAACAAAAAAAGACTTAAATGTAAAATAAAACTAAAAATACAATTTGCAGAGAGTTAGCGTCAAAGTTAAGTGCTCTCTCAATAATCCTATCTTATCATTCCATAAAAAGGAAGCCTTATCAACTTGCCAAATACCTGTTACTTTTTCCCTGTGTGGTGACAACCCTGGGGGGAAGTCTCGTGCTATTGCTCCTGAGACCTGAGCTAAGACTCCCTTAGACAATGAATCCATACTTAGGCGGATTCCTTCAAGAGAGGCCAGAGAATGTTTCCCTCATTGTTGCAAATTCAAATGTCAGGGGCCAAGCCAGAGCATAACACAAATGAGGGAAGTGGGAGAATGTAATACTCTTATACAGCAGCTCACACTACTTATTTTAGTTGTATTAAAAAACAAATCCTGTTGGAATGTCTTTTTTTTTTCAATTCACTGTTTTTTCTACCATATATTTTCTGTATAGTAAAAATAATTATATCTGTGGTTTATTATTTGCCAATGGCATCTTAGTTTTGTTTTGTTTTACACACACACGCACACACACACTGCATATTACATTTCTAAGAACTCTATTTCTAAAGCAAGTTTGTCCCTTCATGTCTCTCCTGGTCTATCTACTGTTTTCTCTCTTTCATTAAGAGATATGAGGACAGGACACAGTGGCTCACACCTGTAATCCCAGCACTTTGGGAGACCAAGCTGGGAGGGTTGTTTTGAGTTCAGGAGTTTGAGATAAGCCTGGGTAGCATAGTGAGCCCTCATCTATTCAAACAAATTTTTAAAAATTAGCTGAGCATGCTGGTGCACACCTGTAGTACCAGCTACTCCAGAGGCTGAGGTAGGAGGATGGCATGAGCCTGGGAGATCGAGGCTGCAGTGAGCTGTGATCACGCCACTGCACCCTAGCCTGGGCAACACGGTGAAGGATCACTGTACCCCCCACAGCCCTCAGAAAAGAGACAGGAGTACCAGAATAATTTAAGGAAAGGTAATTGTGAGCCCACTGATGATAAATGGCAGCTCACCCGTGGCTCTAGCGTCAAAGCCCAGAGGGAACTGAGTCCATCTGGAGAATGTGTGCCCTGCTGAAGGGTGGCTCCCACTAGTTCCTGCTAACTATGCCAGGCAGCAACTCAGGCCTCGCATTACCACATCTTCTGATTTTTTTCAAGGCAGGAATCTGGATTTTTAAGGTAAATTTCTAAGTTCATAAACATTGGCAAATGGATTCAAGAAAAATGTAAAGAATATGTGGGCTGACAACTCATGAGGGCTGTGGCTGCCCACAGTAGATGCTCAATAAATATCTGTTGACTATTATCAGGATTATTTGGTCACAACAGTCACAAGTCCAAATCAAATTAGGGTAACAGGATGCTCGAAATAAAATTTTAGCCAGGCCTATAAGGTGATACATTTCAGACACCACAGCGAAGTGCTAGACTAAGATGCAGATTTTCAAAGGAAATCTCTTAATACATATCACGTAATTCTAAAGGCCTTCCCTACATCAAATATAAATAGCAATCAGTTGCTAGAGATGAAGGGAGAGAGGATTTGAAAAATCTCTTTGTGGGGAGCTGTGTTATGAACAGGGCAGGCGGGGTACTTGTCTCTCACTCCAGCCTCTGAAGGACGCCTAACATGGCCTTAAGGTTTAGAGAACACAGTGGGTTGCCTGGGGCCCACCTCCTACCCAACAAGCCTAGAGGACACAAAGGGCAATGGATGGGCTGCTGCAGGAGAGCACTGCATGGGGACTGGCCTGCACTCCCAGAATCTGTGGCAAAAACTAATGCATGAAGGAGTTGGTGTGGGCTCATTTCAGGTCCTTTCCAGAAGATCTGCCTGGAGGGTTGACCGGCCCTCGGCCAACAGAAGCAGCGGGTAGATGCTGGGATTCCCAGGAGCTACAGAAGTGAGGAGCAAGGCGGAGACATGGGCATTACCCACACCGGGGTAACCACGAGAAGAGGCCCCTAAGACAGAAAGGGGTCATCAGAACACTCACAAAAGCACCCCATCCGTCAGCTTTAACTACTTGTCAGGTCCAGAGAGTGCAAACACTCTAGGTCTTTACTGCTCATTCTCTCTCGCTCCCACAGCAATCCTGGATATGTCAGAGGCATATGGGAGAGGAGGGAAGAGGAAAGACAAGCAGGGCATGCCCTTTCCCCACCAGGCACCTGCCAGCACTAAGTCCTGTTGCAGGAAAGGGAGCAACTGCAGCTTTTATGAATTGAAAGCTATGACTGTTACACAAGATGGGACCCTCTAAGTTTGGAAATGGCAACTCACTGCGACTATGGAATTCTTATTACTTCAGATGTATTAAAGACATGAAAACATTTTAAGGGAACAGTGGGAGACAAAATGAAGGTGTCTGTGATGATCCCTCGACATTTCTTGCATGCTCAACATACTGGTTGCACTAACTCAGGTGAACAGGGTGATTTAGTGGTTCATATAACCAAAACGTAGGAAGGGCCAGAGTGTGGAGGGTCTCGGGGTGACCAAGAGTGACTGGAATAGAGGGAGGCCATCGGGGAGGCCATTGGGCCTCCCTCTATTGTCTGTACTCTCCCCTGGTGAGCTTTCTTCGTGAGTGAGGCAATGTGGCCACCAGCAACCTGTAGGCAAACATCTTCCGCTTTGCCACTGGCAAGGGATTGCATTAGGCCCTCTGCTCCCAAGGGCGAAACTCCTGGGGAAAGGTTAGGGCTGGTGGAGCGTGCACCAGCACTTCGTTCTGTTCTAGTCACAGAGACTGAGGAGACGGGGTTTGTGGAAAATGATGACTCCCATGTGATACACATGGTTACAAGGAGCATTACCAAAAGAAATGTGTTGTACTGAACAAATAAAGTCCCCTTGCAAACAATAGGAATCATCTTTGAAAAACTAAAGAACTAGCTAAATCTTGGAGTTTAGATTCAGCTGTAAATCTCAGAGTCAGTTACAATGAGCCATGGACCCCATTTCTCTCATCCTCGGTCCTCTGACAAACCCTTCTCATAATGCCCTCTGACTCATGATTCCAACCACCTGGCCCACCCCTCTCTACCTCCTGCCACAACTGAAGCCTGGCAGACCCTACAAGGCTTTTCTGGAGGCTCTCCAGGGGACGCTGCTTTTCCTCTCCTCTGCCAAGCACCTGTGGGAATGAGAGGGGAGTGCTTATGACATACTTTGCAGCAATTTTCATCATCTTTCCTGTGTTTGGCATCCTTGGGGCTCTTGGATCTGTGGGTTTTAATCACATTTGAAAAAAATTTGGTTCTTATTTCTTCAAATATTTTTCTGCCCTCCTCTTTCTTTTAGGGGCTCCAATAACACGTGTGTTAGGGCTGCTTGAAGTCCCATAGCTCACCAGTGGTCTGTTCATTTTTTTCCCCCTGTAATGTTTCACTCTATGTGTCTTTTCTTTTTCTAAGACAGGGTCTCACTCTGTGGCCCAGGTTGGAGTACAGTGGTGCAATCCTGACACTGCAACCTCCGCCTCCGGGGTTCAATCGATTCTCCTGCCTCAGTTTCCTGAGTAGCTGGGATTACAGGC